GCTACGACCTTTTCACTTCACCAAGCCATTTAATTTGAATGTCTTCTGAAAGGTCACATTGAGACCTGCAATATTTCCTTGATCAACGCCTATTTCCTGCCCTGCGTCTATCTGTCTGATCCTACTTTGACCACTCAAATATGAAACGTCCCAGTCGCCGATGAGAGACATGCAAAGGCACAAAATGCACCAGCACATCTAATTTCATGGTCGGTTGACTTCGACTGCCTTGTCAGTCTCATCGCCCTGTCGCCAGATTGTTCGCCTACTTTCGGGAAATCGATGCTGCAATAATAGCTCTTGTTAAGGCGACGTAACACAACCGTAGCAGCAAATCCCATAAATTCGGTGCAACGAGAATTCATGCAGCAAGAAACATTTGCCCGGTGCGAGACACCTAAAAGAGTTATGAATGATTTCGTATCAGCACCTACGATTATCAACCTCGTGCAATCCACCAACTCTCCATCACGACACGCGGTTACCCCAGAATCCGGATCAAGACGAGGCGGTCAAGGGGAGGGTTGTCGGCATGGAGAGAACCCGAGTGGAGGGACACTGCGGTACGCAAAGGACTGCTTCGTTTACACGCTGTGAGAATGCTATGTTGACGCTATGTGCCCATGCCTTGGATGCTGTGCGACGGCTGCTTTAATACGACTCAAAATGGTACTAACTGTGCTGAATTCAGATCCTTTGGAGGCAGTGTGAGTGAGGATAGGATAAGACAAAATCTAGCAAACAAAGCCCACGGTGCTGTACTGTCGGCCAGTCGCAGATGTTATACGCCTCAACCAAATAATGGTAGGCAACAATTCGCGGTGAGACAAGACGGTACAACTTATATATATCTCTCCCCGTATCTGCAGCTATAGAAAGTCGGCAACGCCCCCGAATCAGCACCATTCCTCTCACTTCGGACAAACAAAGACCATGCGGCCCGTCATGGAAACAGCCGTCCTGACGAGGTGAGAAGAGACTCCAGTAGTCACAGCTTCGCGCCTGGCTAGTCTTTGATATGGTGCAAGTTTTGAAAGGCACGTGCATTGATAGCACCACACTGGACGGCGCGGTATCTGACTACGTCATCCGTTCGAAGCTGCTATGCGGGAAGGAGCAAGCTCAAGCAGTTACAAGGAAAACCAACGACAGCACGAGACAGGTACAGAACAGAGTTGCGAATCAACTAGGCAGCAACATTTGTGCCGATAAGAACAACCAGCAAAATACACGGAGGCATCGACACGTTTGTTCTGTTGCGAAGTAGATACAATATAGCTGATAGCGTGTTCTCCATTCAGCCGGTGCAATAATAGGTCCTTGCGCACATGGATAGTTTCTCCATGCGCCATTCCTTAGCCACCGCTTCGTAGCGACGTAGATCATAAAAATGGCAGGTGCAATTCCATCGATTGGTCGTTGTTGCTGTTTATGGCCGCATGGCCGGAGCATTGGTCGCTGTTCGTCCTTGCCATTGGATGGCACGACCTGCTGTGACCAGGCCAGACCAGGCGGGGCCGCCACCAGACCTGCCGCGGTGTAGCGTCGCTGACGTAGTGCTTGCCATCATTGTCCCTCCTCATTCCATACTTAAGCGCCCCCCTTCGCGTCCTGCAATTTGTTGCCTCTCCTCATGTCAAGTGTTTTTCAACGACACTTCCTACAAAATCGACCTGTTTTTCGCGTCTCTGCGATTCTTTTTACCAGCGACCGAACCCTGCTCTAATAGCACCACGAAACGAACATTTGAACTTTAACCAAGCACTCGACCCCCCTCCAGCCGCAATCATGGTCACCGCTTCGGCCATTCTCGTGATCATCATCACGATCATCTGTACGTCTGCGCTCCTCTGGCGCTGTCACCAAATTATGTCATCCGCTGCATCAAATGGAGTCATATTCTAACGTCATTCTCCCATAACAGTCCCGCCGATTGGCGTATATGCCGTTGCTGGCTGCGGAGCCGACCTTCTCGTCAACATTTGCCTGACAATTCTTGGGTATGTTTCTTCTCGGCTACGTACCCTCCTTTCACCCTCGCTCCCCAAACCTATGCTAACGCGACGCTCTTATATAGTGTCTTCCCCGGCCATATCCACGCATTCTACGTCGAGTATGTCTACTATGACCGGCGCGAACAGTCTCGCGAGGGCCGTTTCACTGCCGACCGGGCTCCAGGTATCTACAGCGATCGCGTGCAATCGGGTGGCGGTGGCTACGGTACGATTGCCCAAAACACCTAAGTGCACGATGCCAGAGATGCCGGGGAGGCAATACCCTGGGCCACGTATCGTGGGCCACGCTGGCCAAGCAATGGTCCACGTGACGGCTCACAGCCGAGTCCCTAGCAACGCGAACGAGTTCCCAACTCTCTAGGCGCCATTCTATACGATCGTTGGTGATATGAGGAGTTGGAGGCGTTGGTATACGGTCGAATCGAACGTTAAGGAGGCGGATACCTTGTTGAAGCCGCCCTTGGATGTTTACTTAATTTTTTGTTTTATGCTTTATCTCCCTTCACGTCACGTTTTTACTCCATTCCGAAAGATTTCCAGAAAACGTTACGGCTCTCATAAAAACCTTTACTCTCCTTGTCAAGCTTCCCATTTTTGCTACAGACTATTTCAAATATCCAATCGCCCAGATATGTTATTGAAGACGAGAAATACGGCGGCCGCAACTGACTTTTTATCCACGTACGATATAACCGTCAAGACCTCCTAACATCCCACCGTTGCCATGCAGAATACCATCGTGATGTAAGAGAGTGTATTTGAGCATCTCGCAAGCGGTGTAAAATTATAACTAGTCAACTCCGCACGCGCTGCAGGCTACGACGTACGCCGTAGTAGTATGCGGCCTGCTGCAACTAAAGACTCGCTCGATATGCGAGAACACGTCAATGTAAGCGGGCCAGACCACGGAGTGCAGGCTCAAGGCTAGCCCGCCCGCCATGAATGGATGAACAGACCAAATAAACCGTAGTTGAAGTACTGCATGCGACAAAACCGAAAAGAAAAATAAAAGGAAAAATTCAAATTGTCGTCTCATACAGCTCACTGAATAAAAGTAGACATCGGCTCGCCATGTCCACAACGACGAAAGTCCACGGCTGCATGCTGGGTTCATTCATCAGCTTACCACGTCGCAATCCACAGGGTTTGTCCCCATCAATGTCGGATTTATTATGAGCCAAAGAAAGACCCAAGAACTTCATACGTTGGCAACGGGAGGCAGAATGAGCGAATGACGGCCCCGGAAAGGGAAGAGAAATAGACAAATAAGAAAGCGCATTCGTCCTGCGCATCATCTTAGCCCAACTAAACACGCACAACATTGTCCGGTCATGTCCACGACCAACGCCCGTCAGACAGCAGAAACGACGTCGTGCCAGAAAATGCTGGAGTGTGGCAGCTCTTTGGGGAGACAACTCAGTATTTCTGAGCGATACAGCGGAGAGTTGGAGGGTGGTGGTAAAGGTGGGCATCTCTTGACTTGGCCCGGTTCGTGGTGCATGGGATGGTCCCTCATGCCCTGCACACCCCCTTTCTCTGCCGGTCGGTCGCGCCTGCCCCCCCTTTCCCTCCTTCTTGTTCGCAACTGCCCTTTCAACGGCAGCCACGACTGTCTGCAGACAGCTCCGTATGCACATTCTCCACTAGCCAATGGAAGCGCCGGTACCATTATTTCAGTGGCTCCTGCGTCCTCTCACACGCTGACTTCGTACATGATTTTGTCTTGTTCCCACGACTCCACAGCCTTTTTTGCCCCATGTCGCTCCGTGTCTGTGCAGGCGGCGCGCGACAGTGAAGACATGACCTGCACAAATAGGACGAAGTGAAGAGAAGTATTTACAAAACCAAAAAAATTGTAAAAAAGGAAAGACCCAATTGTATGTCGTAAATACGAAAAAGGAAGGAAGAGAGCTGAAACGGGAGGGAGCGAGTTAAGATTTATAAACGACAATTGGGGATACTTCCCCATCGTGCTTTCCGAATTGAAAACTGCGTGTGTTGTTCCAAACAGGCCAGGAAAAGCTCTTTTTGGCCGCCCCCATCTGATCTTTGAGCATGCTCCTCGGCATTGCCTCTTTTCTCCTCAACACTTTCAACTCGTATATTTCGCAGCTTCTTCTATTGTCATCTTCCATAGCACACATCTAAAACCCTCCTCCGGCACTCCCAGGATATCAGCACCCATTCCCTCGGATTTCCGCCGCCCATGTGTGCCACGGACCATTGCCCTTCTGAGGAGGTAATGCTCCTCTGATCACACCCCAGCCTGTCCACCAGTGGTCAAAGCGCCCAGCCACGCACATCTCGAAGGAAACGACAGCGTCATCTACATCCAGCATCGGCGTTTTTTTGTTTCATTTTTTTGTAACAAAATCCGAGGATAAAGGCACCCACGCAGCCAAGGACAACACGCACAAGCTGGTACAAAAGCGACGCACACGTCGAGCCGAAGTGGTCCGGGAATGACATGACAACAAAAGTCGGCGACACAGCACAGCTCAGCCTAGAACTCCCAGAGCCAGACACGGGACAGCGAAACGACAAAGTGAGGAGAAAACCTGCAGCAGCAGGCAATTAACGGCGTCCACGTTGTCGCTCCTGGTCACCCTCCCTTGCCTTACTCCGCCTTTCTTGTCTCCAGTCCGGCCTTCTTCTTATTATTGTTTGACATCTATCTCGACTTGGTTTCTGTCGCCCGCAACATCACGAGACCGGCGGCCTGCACCGCCCGTGAGCGACAATTTCCCACCGCTCACAAAGGGCCACGAGATACAGAGCCGACCGGCGGCCAAAAGAGCTGCATGCTGCTGCCGCCCGCCGACAGTCTCTTGCGCCCTGCCTCTCTTCTTTGATTCACCCTGCCAGATATTAACGCGGCATCTTCGAGGCGGCCGGCGCGACGGGCTCGACCTCGTCGGAGTTCAATCGTTCAGAGGCTGGAGCCGACCATGTCATCTTGCGCGGGTTGACTGGTGCAACTCTTGCCTATCGTCTCTTCTTGTTCACACACTCTCTCGTTTTCGCATTGCCACGTTCCTTGATAGGTTTGCTTCTCGATTTCTCTGATTTAATCTCTCTTTGCGTGCTGTGCACCTCCGCGTCATCCTTCCTTGTCCTCTCTTTCTCTGTCGTGTTGTCTCGCGCTCTGCAATCACTCGCTTCGCCCCTCTGTCTCTCCGGGCGGGTCCCGTTGCGTTGGCAAAACCGCCTCCTCCTCCATTGAAGTAGAGACAGCATACACCCCATCTGCGACTCCGAGCTGGCCTTGCATTGGTACCACTTACCCGCATCCCTCCCCAATATTACCTGCTTTCCATGCATGATGGATGCCATGTACATAAATAGCAAACCACATGGCCTTTTGTCTGAGGACAAAACACGAGATGGCGCAAGGGAAATCCGCGAGCGGTCCAGCAGACGACGACCAGCTTCGGACGCCGGTCTCAGCTCCGGCCTTGTTGTCGCCAAGTCTGCCCATCTGCGCTCTCACATATATCGTCACTCCCATGCCTCTCCCTCGTCTCCATTTTCTGCCACTGTTACTCTTTCCTCCCCCACCACTGCCCTGGATTCATTTCAGCCCCGGCCAACTACCTCACTCTCGGCGTTGGCTGCACAAATTCCTTCTTCCTCACTTCCTCCCCCATCATCGTCGCGGTCTACGCCTTCTGCCGCCTATTCGCCTCGGTTGGTAAACGGCCATCGCTACAACGGCACCGCCACAGTCACAAATACCGCCGCTCATACCAACGGTATCCAGGCGGCCCCGACACCGCCTTCTTCCGCGTCTATTCCCTTCTTCAAGACAGGAAGCAATACTACACCCGAGACCTCACTGGTTGGTGCGAGGGGCAAGTCAATACCGCTCGACGACAGCACTGCGGCACATCGAACTTCTGCTCTCCGCGAGCTCAACAGCAGCTTCCCTTCGCCCGTGCTCCGCCACCAACAGGCCAAGTCTACGGGAGCACAAAGCACCACATATTCGCAACCAGTCATTGTCCGAACATACTCCGGCCCTCCACAGTCCCCTTCGACTTCCGCCCACTACCGGCCGCCCAGCAGCAGCCGCCGAGCTGGCAGTCGTGCATCCGGCTCCCGCCGCATTCCATACGGTCAGAACGGCCAGGCTTCGTCGTGGGCTTGGGACTCTACTGCCAACAGCAGCAACAATGCTCAGAGTGTAGGCTGGGGATTAGCGAGTAGCCTGTTCGGCATGGCACGATCAAAAGGAAAGAAGACCGGGTTTATACCGTGGCCTTTTGTTGCAAGCACAGATGGCCCATCACAAAAGGGCGAGGCAAAGCTGCCGCCGATTGAGGCATTCTCTTACAAAGGCTTCATGGCTGACCTGCAGACCACGACCGACATTCGATCTGACCTCGACCGCATTGCAGAGATCTGCGCCCGGTCAAGATACTGTCTAAGCGACAAATACGACTCGCATGTGACTCCCCACGGGTCCGGTGCGAGCTTTATGGCATCTGTATCACAGCATCCCAACCATTCCAAGGGCCGGAGGAAAGGGGCATCCAGTCCTGGTGGACCAACTCTCCAAGCAGTACCATCCGACGACGACGAGAGTAGCGCACGAGGCCATCGACGAAGGCGCGGCGGGATCGGGGGAGGCAGACGACGCAGCGCAGCCTATGGCACCTTGGAAACCATCATGTCGTCAAGCCGGTCATCGGAGGAAGACAAGTCCAAAAAGAAGTCCGCGGCTGACATTACCGAAGCAGTTCGTGGCCGCGCAGCTCGGAAGGGACTAGGCACCGCCGACAGCACCGGAGACGGCACTGCTACTACAACCGGGGAGAGCAGCGGGCGCAACAAAACATCTTCCAATTCCAGCAAATCACCACGCGGGAAGGACGGGGACAGAAGAGGATCCAGGTCTCCAAAGGAAAGCTCCAGTGCGAATCTTGTGGATGGTGACAAAGCCTTGCTTGGCAGTAGTGGACCATTGGCTACTTCTCGATCTTCACCGGACCGGCAGCAAGTGAAACTCCCTCGACGACCAAAGTCCACATCGTTTGCGCACGCAGTTATTGGCAGCAGTCGCAAGAACCAAAGACATCGGCATTCAGCTGGACGCGAGAGGAGTTCAGCAGTAGCTACGCACCCGGTGGTAGATGTCTCTAATGTGCCAGCCCTTCTAAGCGAACCAGCTCTTCCTCAAACGTCCGATGGGACCATGGATATGTACAATGTGCTATCGGACGCGGTGAATGGACAAGCCTCGCCCCATCCCACTCCTCATCATTCTCGACGCAGCAACACCCTGGAGCACAGAATCCACATTGTTGACCCGGACGATGAGGCGAACCAGGATCCGTCCCTATTTCTCGACCCAGAGGATGCTACTGAAGCCGGGTTTTTCTCGGGTCTCACCCACTGGATCCCCTGGATGGCCAACGGAACTGGAGGCCCAATCGCTGAACAACCTCTGGGTAATGGACACAGTGTATCTCACTACCATGAAGTACCAGCGCCGGTCGTTGCCGGACGAGCATCTGTCGCAGGCCCAAGTCACGCTGAAGGGAGTCTCCGCGAACTACTAAAGAGCGTGGAAGACACAAATGGAAAATTGAAGAAGGGGAAGGCTGTTGATGACAATAACAGCCGTTGAGTGGTTGAAAAGTACTGGCATTTGGCATCCATGCTTGACTTTATGTGCTGCACATTGTTCTCCTTGTCCTGTTTTGATTTCAAAGTTGTATTAAATATACCCCCTTTCCCTGTTTTATAAGCCACCCATGTTTCCACTTTCATCTGCAGCAGTTTTCATTGTCTGATTCTTTTATGATTATGAACTCTCATTGGCAGGTTTTTTTTTTTCGATTTTCGCTTCCTCTTTTGCCACTCAAGGACGATACACAAAATAAGACGGATGCAAGACAAAGGGGACAATATACACAAAAGGAGTGTCTGGTCAAAATGGCCGTTTGTTAAGTTTGCTCTTTATGTTTCTATAGTCGATCAGTTAAGGCCTGGCGTGCTCCCAATGTTTGGGACTTATACACATCTTGTGGCAAAACATAATGGAATCGCACGAATAAAAATGGGTATGAACTCAAAACTGTTGACAACATAAAACGTCGTGGTTGCACCGCCGTCGTTCTTCGTGAGTACAGACTTCCTTTTCATCGTCTCTTCTGCACAGCTATGCTCCTACAAATACAAAGAACAGCCAATGGACCCAGTGCGTGTAGACTCCAGCTCCTTGTTTATTGTTTACAGAGTGCTCCCATAACAACCGTACTTATTTTTCTCCCGTTCCCGTGTAAATATTCGAAAAGAAAAAAATGAAACCCCACGAGTATTCCTATCCAGGTGTGCAATAAAATAGATGTAAAAAAGTCTAATGACAAAGAGAGAAAAAAAAAATTCAGGATAGACGCTGACGGTACCCGCACCGAGCCCCATTGGCCTCTACTGTCTGTTGTCCTTTCTGCTTTAGAACAAACCGGCCAAAAATATGGAAGCAGCTACATCAACCATTATCTGTATCTGTATTGCGGAGGTGTGTGCTTTGTGACTTCGGTGCGAGCGGCGGGTATAGTCGCAGATGCAGACGTTGGTCCCGTGGTGCCTCCTGCGTGGACCGCCATTGATGACTTCCTGGCTAACGCCCTGGATAGGCTCCGCTTCGGTCTTTGTTCGTGTCATCCGGTGGGAACGCCGGGGTCTGTTTCGGCTGCGTCGGCACGTCGGAGATGGGCATGGAGGACGATGTGGCTTCTGAGATTGCAGCAACTATGGCCGAGGCAACCTCAGCTTTAGCCACTGGCAATGTATCTTGGTCGGCACCAGTATTGGGCCTTGGTGCTTCAATATGCTGGCGCTTGGCCTCCCGCTGGTCTGCACTACCGGCTCTGCCATTGCCGTCGACCTCCGACACCGTAGAAGGCGGTCGCTTCTTCGTCTCGTGTTTGTCGCTGGAAACGATAGCATCAGAAATTGCTGGTGCTGGAGCAGCGGCCGGGTCGGCAGAGGCAGATGCGGATGCGATAGCTTGCGCTGCTGCTTTACGGGCCTCTTTTGCGTTGCGTTCGTTCTGGCGCCGGAGAGCCTTGGACTTGAACTCGTGCCAATCACCGCCAATGTCCGCCAATCTAGTAATATCACGTTAGTATAGGGAGCGAGACGCACAAAGTACACGATAGATGCAGGATGGATCGAAAAATGACGTACTCAATGGCTTGACGCGCCGGTGGCTGTTCCTGGGTGAAGTAGCGATGGTCAAGGACCTCCGCAGCGGACGGTCGGTTGGCAGGATTGTAGCGGAACATGGCCGAGAGGATGTCAAATGCGGCAGGCGTGACGCGGTGCTGGTACGTTTCGGCAAAGACGTTCGCCAGTCGATAGGTGGGCCGCATGAGCTCGAACCAAGGCATTTCGGTCAGCCCGGGCCATTCGCTTTTTGTTGGCGTGCCCAGTATGTGGTAGATCTTGGACAGCTGGCTGATCTCGCCGCCACCACCCGGGAAGATGGGGGCTTGCGTGAAGATCTCGACCATGACACAAGCGGCGCTCCAGATGTCGACGGCCGGGCCGTATTGTGTCTCGCCCAGGAGCAGCTCGGGCGGCCGGTACCAAATGGTGATGACGCGGTTCGAATAGTCGAGCTGATGACGCTTGGCAAAGAAGCGGGCCAGGCCAAAATCGGCCAGCTTGAGGATACCGTCGCTGCTGACGAGAATGTTGGCGGCCTTGATATCACGGTGCAAAACACCGCGGCGGTGTAGGTAGTCGAGGCCTTGGAACAACTGTAGGGCCATGTGCTTCTTCTGGCCATCATCCAGCTTGAACGTCGGGTGGTTGAGCAGGCCGTTGAGATCGTGGGAAAGGTACTCGAAAACCATGAAGCAGTCGTTCTTCTCCACCATCACCTCCTGCAGCTCGACAACGTTGACGTGCTTCAGGCTCTGCAGCAGCTTGATCTCACGGATGGCCGTCACGGGAAGGCCCTCACGCTCGCCTTCCATGCGAATGCGTTTGAGGGCAACGAGTTTCTTCGTGTAGACGTGGACCGCCTTGAACACTTTTCCGTACGTACCAGATCCAACGACTGACTCGTTGCCCGGCTTGCGGTAGTAGACCGAGTCGGACGCAGCCAGGTCCTCGGGCAGTGTCGGTCGTGGTTTGGGGTGGCGGATGATCTGCTTGACCTTGCGATAGCGCGGGCCAGGACGGGATTGCTGCTGTTGCTGCTGTTGCTGTTGAGGGCGGTTTTGGTCACCACGCTGCCGTTGCTGCTGCTCAAACCGAGCCCGCGAGGATGCCGGTTCAGTCGGTGCGTTGCGGGGTGGCAAATCCCTCTTGTTTCCATCATCACGACCGCCATCCTGGTGGGAATGTCGCTGCTGTTGCTGGTGTTGTGGTTGCTGTTGTTGCTGCTGGCCTTGTTGTGGCGATTGTTGCCGCGGTTGTCTGGGAGCGGCACTAAGCTTCTGGGCAATCTCCGCCTTGGGAGCAGCGACGTGATTCTTCGACGCGGCTTTGAAGGCGAAGCTGAACTTGGACCCCTGAGGACCCGTGGGTGGTTGTCGACTGGGCGGAGGCATCTGGGCGTCGGCTATCGGCTGACGGGACTCCCTCCGGCCGCGGTCTGGTCGACCCGCGATGCTGCCGTCGTCTAAAGGCTGCCGCTGATCGTACGGGATGCCGTCCGTATCTTGCATCGGGACATCGTCGCCCTCGTAATGTGCTGCCTGTCCGTGGCTGCCGTGTTGGTGATTGGAGTGGTGGCGGTGCGCTCCTGGGTGGGGAGATACGTTTGCGGGCGCTGCGTGTTGATAGCTACCGTCGGCATTCTGCCCTGTGGGCCACTGTCCGTTGTAGTCGCTGTCTCCACGGTGGTCGCCCCTTCCAGGCCCGTAGTAGTTACCCTGATAGGTACTGTGGCCCTGTGACGTTGACGTATACTGCGCACTAGGGCCTAAGGGGGCTCCGTATGGAGGGGAGTTGGCCTGTTGGAAGGAAGTGCCGTTAGGGGAGTAGTCGTGCGGTTGTTGTAATTGTGGCGGGAATTGCCTGGAAAGCGTGTTAGACAGTGTAGGTCCAAAAAAGAAAACGAAAACGAAAAAGAAACAAAAAAAAAAGAAACAAAACAACACATCGAAAATGCAGACGTGCGATGGAAATAAAGGGACAGGGATAAAATGGGCAGACTGTACGAACCCGTGAGGCGAGTATTGTTCGTGGGCTGGGGCCCATCCCTGGCTACTGCCGTACGGCGATTGGGGTGGTGCAGAGCCGTGGAACGAAGAGTTTGGAGTGCCATGTCCGGACTGAGAGTATGAGGGAGGATGGGGGTATTGCTGGTCGCGCTGCTGGTGCGGCGAATGGTTGTTGTAGTGTTGCTGTTGGGGGTTCTTCACGGAGTATGGGCCGTGGCCTGCGCCGCCCCGGAAGCTCCCACCACGTGCGGCCATATCGTCGTCAATGGGAGACCTGGGGCTGTTGGATGCCGCGTTGGAGGCGTAGGATTCGCGAGAACGGTCCCGTCTCCTACTGCGTTTCTTGCTGGCGCGGGGCGAGCGCCCGTGGCGGTCTCGATCGCGATCGCGGTCGCGGTAACGGTTGCGGTCTCGATCACGATCACGCTCCCGGCCCCTGTCTCTGTCTCTGTCTCTGTTTCGTTCCCTCTCTGGTCCCCGTTCTCGGCTTTGGTCGCGTTCGTCTTCACGGTCTCGAGCCCGGTCCCTGCTCGGTTCCCGGTCTCGTTCTCGTACCGGCTCTCGCACTTTGATTGATCCGCCAGACCGCGTCGAAGTGAAGGATGTTCTGCGGTGACGTTGTTGCTGTTCTTCCGGGGGAGGTGTGCCGGTCGGCACAAGGTCGACGGCGTCGAGGTCTTCGGGAGTTTGATCTCTGCGAGACGCCGTATCGTCTAGTACAACTGGCGAGCGCGAGTGCGAGCGCGAGCGGTCGCGTCGATCGGCAGCGAGCAGCTGTTGATTCGACAGCCGAGGGGGCTGATGGTCGTTGCCGTGAACACCAGTGCCAGTAGGTGCGCCGGCACCGGCTCCGCTCCGTACCTTGTTCTTGTTTCTCGAGCGGCGGTCGCGCCGTGACGTTGACAATGACGCTGGGGGTGGTGATCGGGACGAATAACGCCGTGAACCTTGACGGTGTTCTTGGGAGTAATGCGAGTTGGGAGATCGCGAGCGAGGACGCCCGCCGCTATGCGAGTGTGGTGGTTGCCAATAGGGACTCCTGTCTCGTCGAGAGCGCTTTGCCTGTGTACCACTGCCGCCGCCTGCAGAACCACCGTTACCGCGGCCACCAGAAGCGTCGGCAAAGCCAAACGACACGCTCGGGCTCCGAGGCCGTTTCCCCGTGCTCGGATGATTGTTGCCGCCGCTGGTTGGCTTTTGATAGCCGCTGCGTGAGTCGTGGCGCCGTCCTCGATGCAGTTCGTCTGTGGCCGCTGCCGAGACTGGGTCTAATCCCGCCGTCGATGCTTGCCGTCGATCCGCGTCTCGGTCCCGATGTCGTTCCCGGTCTCGTCCCCGGTCTCTGTCGCGTTCTCTGTCGCGTTCTCGGTCTCGTCGCGATGACGGCCGCGCGTCGTCGTCGTGTCTGTTTCGGCTTCGGCTGCCCTCACGCGACCGCCGATGTCGATTCTGGCCGTCGTTTCCAATGCTACCGCTCGGCTTTCTCGATTTGCGATTGCTGTCCTTCTCGCCACGGTCTTCACGGCCTCCGCGCCTGTCTCGATCGCCCCGATCGTCTCTGCTGTCCCGGCCCTCTCGCCTGTCTCGGTCGCCGCCGCCGCCGCCGCCGCCTCTACCTCCTCTGGACTGCTGCTGCTGATCTAGCTGCTTTAGTTGCTGCTGCTGCTGCTGCTGCTGCTGCGGCTGTCTGGGCGCTCTCTCTCTGTCGCCCTCCTCGCGTGACCGATGAGCAACGACAGCACGAGGCGGCGAATGTATTGGCCCGTTCGACGTCATGCCTCGTTGAGCATCTTCTCTGGAGCCGGTGTCGTGTGTTGGGAATGCGTGGCCGGGGTTGCGGCTGTCTCCTGGCATTTCCACATCTCGATGGCGATGGAAATGCAAAGTCACCGTCGCGGTAGCGAATTTCAATCGTAAAGCGCGGGTTTTTGAGTGACAATGAGCCTAGCCCCATTGCGGTGCAGTGGGGCGTGTCGCCGTCCTGGATTTTTTTCGGGGGGGATTTTGTCCCCCTGCACGCCTAATTCGTTGTCTGCACATGACCCCTACCAAAGTAATTGGACTGCTGTAATTTGAATTTTTAGGGGCGGAACTGCCCTGTTAATGAATGAAGAAGCAGGCAGTTGCGGTAAAGCTATCAGTGCAATGCGATGATAGTTTGACTGTAAACAACAGCAAGGCCGTTAATTCCTTTCCAACGTCAATCGCCCTTGGCATCTTTTCACGTCGCTCAATCGTTCTTTCAATATAGTCGGCACTTCAGGTTTAGGAACTGTAAGTGTGAGAGAACGCACTTTGTCCCTCGTCCTGGTCCCCAAAGAGTCCCCCTGTATAAGACGAACTGTCTGTTCCAACCACGGTTTGAAGGGCTGAACAGCAAGAGCCTCGTCATGAGAACTTCCATCCAATATCGAGTGACATAAGGCAGTTGGTCTTCTTCTGGGACTCCTTGGTTTTGGGAGAAATAAAGAAGTAGAACATATAGCTCATTCCACTTTCATTACGTTTTTTAATGTCGCTATTTTATTCTTTATATTTAAGCACACAGGAATGAGAGGGGGGGAGAGTCAAGGAAAGAGAATACATGGGATATAGAAATTTGTACACAACGTGAGAACGTGGGAGAAAAAGGAAATTGCAATTACAAAAACACTGAAATATCATACAGACGTTTTAGGCCAGCTAAGATGACGCCATAGAAACTGGGCAGATGAAATCAAACAAATCCATACCTGCCCTACCACCACAGGATACGGCCACCTACCTGCGATCGACCTCAGCCGATGTTGTCCATGTTGGCGGAATTCATGATCAAACTGTTTCTCAGTCGGCTCGGCCGCTCCAAGTGACTCGGATTTGGTGCATGGACATCGGAGCTTCTGGCCGCCCGGTATTTCTTCAGCTTTTGTTCCAGGTACTCTACTTTGCGAGCCAGCTCCATGTATACCGTTGCAAAGCACCGCGGCACCTTGCCGTCGCAGTCGCACAGGACCATGTCATCGCGCATGAAACCGTCGCCGTACTTGCACTGGTGAATACCGCAGAGGAAGTGGAACACCTCAGCCGAGATCTGGTCCACATCGCCGCACTGCAGCATCGTCTTCAGTCCATGCGATCTGTGGACCTTGCTCAGAGGTCTGTCGGGGGACTGGGCCCAGCTGCGGTAGATAAAATCCATATAGAGGCCCTCGCCTGACACCCCTGGGTTTGCCGCGGCGAATTTGGCCTTCATCGTCGCAGACGCAGCCTTCCCAGAAAGCCCATAAGTAATGGTGAAGGGCATGGTCGACGAGAATGGCTTCATCTCATGTGCTGATTGCCGGTGCTTACCGAACTGGGCGTCTCTTCCATCGCCGCGATAAGCTGGGCCGTCTCCAGAGAAAAAACCGCTCTTTCTCGGTCTGCTGTCTAGGCGAACGGCCGCGTTGGAGCGGCTGTATTCTGGGGGGGCAATGGACTGCGAATAGAAAGATCGAAGATCTCTCGCCGCATTGTGGCTGCCTTCCATGTTGCTTGAGAAGTAAAACTACTAAGCGTAAAATAGGAAATGTAATGACCGACTTGTCGGTAGAGAATATGATTCAGCCTGTTGAGGTGGAGAGGGCGATTTCTTTCTAGGATCGAATTGTGGTGATAATGGGCGATTGTTGCTTACAACCCATCCAAATATTGAGATGAACGGACGGCTTACACTGCGTTTTAATAGAACGCTAGCCTGACACTCGTTAAAGGACATACAGTTCGCAAGACAGTGAGAAGAGGCAGACGAAGATGTCGTATCATTGTTGTTAGCCCCATTTCCTTGTTATCCTTTGTCTTCTTTGGCCTTTAACGGTCCTGGCAACAAACATCAGAAACTAAAGAAGCCCAGAGCATCTTTGTGTTGGTTGTGGCGCCTTCTGTTTAGTTAGGCACCTTTGTGCGTGCGTTGGTACCTGTAATAAATTTAGCCATCAGACAATGGATAGAAAGGAGTGTCAGGTACAAAGAAAAGAACAAAAAGGTGCAGTTGTAACGACAAAGCAGCACCGCCAAGTTTCGAGCCTATCGACAGACAAAGAACACGCTCCTGTCGGCATTGAAAGTGCCGCCAATGCACTTGAATCTCGGATTGGCTTCTCGTCCTCCTCTCTTATTGGCACAACAACCGCTGGCTCGAACGGATAGTCGATCCAACATGCAATCTGGTATGCAACCAAAGCAGCTCGCTTGGGAGACAAGTAAGGCTAACTCGGTAGCTTCGTCAGGACTAAGTCATATAACTAGCCGCTCGAAGATGTGGTCCGGCCGTTCTCCTGCCAAAAATATGCAAAGGGAGATAGTTGACGACAAGCCGGTGAATATTGCATTCCCTGCATGATGTTAGACGCCCCGGATACTACCGCCGCCAAAGGTGGGTGCAGATGGAGGAATGTGTCATCCTCGCGTGTCGAAAAATGGGCTACGCCATCTGCTTGGGAGCAATGATGGGCAGCGTTGCTCCGTCGGCTCTGCTCGTGTAATGCTGGCATCGTCAGCATACCAGTCGTCTTCAGCTAGCTCTACACTTTCCGGCCGGCCAGTTGCTGCCGTCGTCTTTGACACGCCTCTTAAATAGGTGGAATGCTGTCATAATCTTTCTTGGGTTGCTCTGCTCCTGTGGCTGGTTTTTTCTCCCATCGCTGCGTTCTTTGCTCACTCGATAGCTCGTATTAATAGGGTACCATACTCCCCCCGTCTGTATTTAATTTCTGCGTTTCTGAGACACCGACCGGTAAATAAAAGCAATCACAAGTGGGAGCTACGAAGTACATGCTGGCCCGGTTTTCTGGAGTTTGAGATTGGAGTAATCCTAGTGAGCTTGCACGATGACAGCCCTCATCCAACAATCCTTGCGTTGATCTATCGTGGTTAGTGGCACTCCCACGATGCCGCGCGAGTCCTGTATTTGTATTCTCAAGGAATAACTCCATAGATTGAACAGGCACTAGAAGTTGACTCTGCTCGCTTGTGTCACCCATATCTTACCTCTGGCTTTCTCCGCTGGGCCCGTGGTGGACGCAAAAAATCAAGTCGTGGTGAAAAGGATCAGCTTTCTTGCCTTCTTGTTAGGTAACATCCGGCGGCTTGTCCAGTCCACCAACGCTCAACGCTGAATACTCCGCGTTGCCTGTGTCCAAGCCGAGCTGACCACAGCTCGTAATGACAGGGCCTGGCCTGGCTAATCCAGGTGCCCATCCCAACTAATTTTTTGCGCCCAACGTTGTTTTCGGATTCGCCGTTGAAAAATCTGCAGGCTAGCATTCAGCCAGAATCGGAGACGCACGATGAAAGGCGATGGAGGGCGGAAAATCGGGACAGAAACGACTGATCGTGAAAACACGGATAAAGCAGAAAAGTTGTTGAGAGCGAGATTTTTTTTGTTTCGTTTCTGCACGTCCTTTTTCTGGAGCTGTAGTGTATATCGTCACCATCTCGGCGTAACGGAAGGAGCGAGCGAGAAGAGACTCCAAAAGGCCAGGTTCGTGGCAGGAGCAACCCATCTAGTCACTGCCACGGCACGACATCAAAGGGGACACTTCCGTCCTGTAAGCGGGCATCATAGACACTTAATAAGACGCTGTCAGATATTTTGGGAAGAAAGAAGCGAAATAACATATCGTGACAAGCTTACAATGTACGATACAAAGAATTAGAGCCTAGCAAGCTCCGGAAGCCCCAGGTATTGAAATTACTGTGACATGTGTATCTTCCGTCCCACTACTGGATTGTCTTTCCCAATACGAATTACATTCGTAATGTATGGCTGGTTTGAACCTGGGGCAGTCCAGTGGTTCCTCCCCGCCCAGAGATGCACTACTGATTTGCACCTTCCATTCGTCGCTTCGACCATTTGCCGGCGTCGCCACACACCAACTCTCTGCCAAAGACCAATCCATAGTCCGGCCCTGGGAACAGCTTTACTCCATAAATCTGCAATAAGGCCATCCGTGGCGAATCCGTATGTATAGCTTCCCTTTCGATCTCGTCTAAGAAGTGGCGGCGAGTTCCTGGTGGTTCCCTCGAATATTCATCGTCGTCCAATGTGCCTTCCTAGTTGTTGTTTTCGTGCTTAGCACATCTTCCATGTCTAACTGGTTGAGACAGTCTGGGGTTGTTGAACGGAAGGAGCGCAGGGGACAAGCAGAGACGAGATAGAAAGGAACTTCTCGTCACCATCGCCAACTCCTCGCAAACTTAGCTTCACAATTTCACAACTTCTCTGGTTATTCCGCTGCTGCATGTTGTATGCCTCATTTTTCTCACATCCAACCCAGTAGAAGCATTCCTCAGTCGCTCATCGCCGACTCGCCTAACCAAGCGTGGATAGCTTCCATCCCCCAGTCTTTTCCCCTTACCATCCATACTAAGCTCAAAGAAGCACAGCAACTGTGTTGTTCCCTGCTACCGCACTGCAACAGCGACGACTGTTTTTCTCGTCTTTTTTTGTTTTTGGCAGTCCAGGTTCTCGCCACCCTCACGTTGCGCTCCTCGAAGCTTGGCTGGCAGGTTTCTTGCCCTCTCCCGTCCTTATTAGCTCTTTGTTCGGTCCTTTTCTCGTTCATTCTCCTGCCTTTGCTATTTGCTTCCTGTTCGTCCTCTCCCCCTTAAATTATATCTGTTCCCCTTCCTCTTTGCATCGATTTGCATCAGTTATTGTGTCCAACGACTTTCCATTGTCTTCCTCGTCTGAAGCTTCACCTTCCAACCTACATAAAGCCGACAGCTCGTCATTTCGTTTTGTTGCGCGAAAAACAGCGAGCGCAAAAGGCCTCTGACGACACCTAGCTCTGCCTTTCTCCACTTTCAACCCCAAATCGACGTTCTCCCCGCGAGCCCAGACCTAAGGTCTGCTGATCTGCTCCGTGCTTCTTCCCTGTTTCTTCTCGTCCTGCCTCGACTTCCCAATCTTCTTTTTCGCTCTTCTCTCCTCCACTCGTCTCTTTTCTCTATTCCTTTGCCATTGAGTCCTCGACCAGAGGTTCTCAAAAACTGCGCCGTTTCTTCAACCGCAATTCTACCTCTTCCCAATTCCCCAAGCTCATTACACAATGGCTCAAGACGGCGTGCGCGAACCGCGCGAGGTTAAGAACCACTATCTCTTTGAGGTCGCGACCGAAGTTGCTCACCGTGGTATGTCTCGTCGTTGCATTTACCGTGTTTTTGGCTCCTACCCTAGGGGTCTCACCACGCAACCTTCTTGCGCTGCTGTTTTGCACAATGGCTGACCCCATGTCTTACCTTGCACAGTCGGCGGTATCTACTCGGTTATCAAGTCCAAAGCCCCGGTCACCACTGCCGAATATGGAGACCGGTATACCCTTATCGGCCCTCTGCACCGGGAATCCGTACGTCCGAGCTGTCAATTCCGTTAAACGATACTATGAACACCATACTAACTTTGCGACGGTAGGCCGCTGTTGAGGTCGAAGAGCTGGAGCCGACAAACCCCGAACTTGCCGCTACGATCGATTCTATGAAGGAGCGCGGGATCCAGATTGTCTATGGCCGCTGGTTGATTGAGGGTGCGCCTCGCGTTCTCCTGATTGACACCAAGTCCGCCTACAACTTCATGGATGAGTGGAAGGCCGATCTGTGGAACGTTGCTTCCATCCCGTCGCCGCCCAGCGACGAGGAGACGAACGAAGCCATTGTTTTCGGCTACCTTGTTGCTTGGTTCCTTGGAGAGGTACGATGCCGGCACTGCGTCGGCGGCCCCTTGGGCTGCCCTGATCCGGAGAGCGGTATTGCTAACAAAGAATGTTTGCACTGTCTAGTTCGTCTGTCACGAAAAGAAGAGGGCCGTCATTGCACACTTCCACGAGTGGCTGGCCGGTGTTGCTCTGCCATTGTGCAAGAAGCGCCGCATCGACGTCACCACGATTTTCACCACGCACGCCACACTCCTCGGTCGTTACCTCTGCGCCGGTTCCGTCGATTTCTACAACAACCTGCAATACTTTGATGTGGACGCTGAAGCCGGCAAGCGCGGTATCTACCACCGCTACTGCATCGAGCGCGCAGCGACACACTCTTCCGACGTTTTCACTACTGTGTCGCACATTACCGCTTATGAGAGCGAGCACTTGCTGAAGCGCAAACCCGACGGTGTCCTCCCCAACGGTCTGAACGTCACAAAGTTCTCGGCCATGCACGAGTTCCAGAACCTGCACCAGCACAACAAGGAGAAAATCCACGACTTTGTGCGCGGCCACTTCTACGGCCACTACGATATTGAGCCCGAGAACACGCTCTACTTCTTCACGGCGGGCCGCTACGAGTTCCGCAACAAGGGTGTCGACATGTTTATTGAGTCGCTTGCGCGGCTGAACCACCGTTTGAAGACGGCTGGTAGCAAGATGACGGTCGTGGCATTTATCATCATGCCGGCACAGACGCACTCCCTGACTGTGGAGGCTCTGCGGGGACAGGCCGTTGTCAAGTCTCTTCGCGATACGGTTGACGTCATTGAGAAGAGCATCGGCCGGC